CGAAAATTAGAACTTCATTCAGAAACCTAAATGAGGAGGCTTTTAGGGCGCTTTACACTGCCTACGTGAGACCCGTCTTAGAGTATGCCGCGCCATCATGGAGCCCCCACCTGAAGAAACACATAAGGAAACTGGAGAAGGTCCAGAGGTTTGCGACGAGGCTTGTCCCAGAGTTACGAGGGATGGGATATGAAGAGCGTCTGCAGGAACTGAACCTTACGACACTAGAGAAAAGAAGGGAGAGAGGAGATATGATAGGGACATATAAAATACTCAGAGGAATTGACAAAGTGGAAATAGATGAAATGTTCACACGTAATAATAACAGAACGAGGGGACATGGGTGGAAACTGGAAACTCAGATGAGTCACAGAGATGTTAGGAAGTTTTCTTTTAGCGTGAGAGTAGTGGAAAAATGGAATGCACTTGGGGAACAGGTTGTGGAAGCAAATACTATTCATACTTTTAAAACTAGGTATGATAGGGAAATGGGACAAGAGTCATTGCTGTAAACAACCGATGGCTAGAACGGCGGGATCCAAGAGTCAATGCTCGATCCTGCAAGCACAAATAGATGAGTACACACAGGCGGGACCCAAGAGCCGTGGGCTAACCCCCCCCCCCCACACACACACAAACACTGATCCAACACCCGCACTTCTCCCACTCTCGCCAGGTCTCTTATAATAATCTCCCGCTTCCTGTGTGTTGCACAGGCTTCTGTGTGTGTTGCACAGGCTTCTGTGTGTGTTGCACAGGCTTCTGTGTGTGTTGCACAGGCCTCTGTGTGTGTTGCACAGGCCTCTGTGTGTGTTGCACAGGCCTCTGTGTGTGTTGCACAGGCTTCTGTGTGTGTTGCACAGGCCTCTGTGTGTGTTGCACAGGCCTCTGTGTGTGTTGCACAGGCTTCTGTGTGTGTTGCACAGGCCTCTATGTGTTGCACAGGCCTCTGTGTGTGTGTTGCACAGGCCTCTATGTGTTGCACAGGCCTCTGTGTGTTCTCACCTATGTGGCAGGGAGTGAGATCTAGTGCTTGGCCACCGCCTCTTAAACATGACTAGACTTGGTAAAGTTGAGGAGCTGAGCTTCACTCGGTTCAACACCGATGGGTCTGGCTAGTGATTGGTTGGGCCACGAGGCTGCACCATTGGTAGGTATATATCGAAAGGCTAAAGGGGAGAGGGGCGACAAATAACATGTATATGTATTATGTAAACAATAGTCATCTCTATACATGCAGTTGACAGCTTCTTTGTATATGCTCTTGTATATACATATACAGTATATATTGGATATATCATGTATATGCTGATTTACGTGTTTTATCTGCCGTTGTGTACTTTGTCGATGATCCCGTGTATTTTGTATGTTGTCGTCATGTCCCTTTTGCTTCATCCCTCAAGTGTTTGAGTACAGGGAGTAGATTAGTGTTAAAGTTTCCTCAGACCCTGACAAGTGCTTGCCCTCTCAGACCCTGACAAGTGCTTGCCCTCTCAGACCCTGACAACTGCTTGCCCTCTCAGACCCTGACAAGTGCTTGCCCTCTCTGACCCTGACAAGTGCTTGCCCTCTCAGACCCTGACAAGTGCTTGCCCTCTCTGACCCTGACAAGTGCTTGCCCTCTCAGACCCTGACAAGTGCTTGCCCTCTCTGACCCTGACAAGTGCTTGCCCTCTCAGACCCTGACAAGTGCTTGCCCTCTCTGACCCTGACAAGTGCTTGCCCTCTCTGACCCTGACAACTGCTTGCCCTCTCAGTCCCTGACAACTGCTTGCCCTCTCAGACCCTGACAACTGCTTGCCCTCTCAGTCCCTGACAACTGCCTGCCCTCTCTGACCCTGACAACTGCCTGCCCTCTCTGACCCTGACAACTGCTTGCCCTCTCAGACCCTGACAACTGCCTGCCCTCTCAGACCCTGACAACTGCTTGCCCTCTCAGACCCTGACAACTGCTTGCCCTCTCAGACCCTGACAACTGCTTGCCCTCTCAGACCCTGACAACTGCTTGCCCTCTCAGACCCTGACAACTGCTTGCCCTCTCAGACCCTGACAACTGCTTGCCCTCTCAGACCCTGACAACTGCTTGCCCTCTCAGACCCTGACAACTGCTTGCCCTCTCTGACCCTGACAACAGCTTGCCCTCTCAGACCCTGACAAGTGCTTGCCCTCTCAGACCCTGACAACTGCTTGCCCTCTCAGACCCTGACAACCGCCTGCCCTCTCAGACCCTGACAACCGCCTGCCCTCTCAGACCCTGACAACTGCTTGCCCTCTCAGACCCTGACAACTGCTTGCCCTCTCAGACCCTGACAACCGCCTGCCCTCTCAGTCCCTGACAACTGGCATCTCCCATTTCATTTCCATCACAGTGTTACAGTCAAATAATTGTTTGGACCTTCTGCAAACATCTCTAAGTAATTTCCCAATCTTCGTAGTTTACATTTACATAAATTTTGATTTGTGATTTATTTTTTATTTATGATTATTTTTTATTTATGATTTGTTTTAAATTGATTTATTTTACATAAATTTTCATTTACATAAATGAGGAATAGCATGAGTCAGAGCACCAGTCCTTGAAGGACTCTTGCGTGTTATCTTATACAAGTCTGACATGTGCTACCATCTTGAGGTTATCTTGAGTTGATTTCGGGGCTTTGTTTTTAGTGTCCCCGCGGCCCGGTCCTTGACCAGGCCTCCACCCCCAGGAAGCGGCCCGTGACAGCTGACTAACTCCCAGGTACCTATTTACTGCTAGGTAACAGACCATATCTTAGGTACTCTCGCCTATCTCTTATATTTGCGTAGTGGTCGCTTGTGGGGCGCCGAGACGAAAGCTTTTTGGCCAGTCTAGAAATACTGGCCAATACAGTAATGGCCAGTAAAGAAATACAAACCTTCTCTAACTCTAGCAGGTTCGATAGTCTCTTTTTGTATTATATATTTTTTAGGTTCTTGTCATCGTCTGTTGAACCCCGGGTTGCTATAGTCTTTATAACTGTTATCCTTTATTGTTGGTGTGAACCCATTCACCTGGGCTCTTGGAGACTCGAACCGCGGCCCCCACATGTGTGAGCCCGAAGCTCTATCGACCGAGCTATTGAGTGGTCGTAATAAGGAAAATATTACCCTTACCTGATCCATCATTTCCTGGCCTGTCATTTCCCCTCCTAACATCTTCCTTGTATTACACATGTGGCCAGAGTATACACTCTTGCCTTCATGTCATCCCCCTTCCTGTACCCTGCTCTTCCATTTCTGTTTCAGTGACGTTTGGGCATTGATTGATGAAGATTAAGCCACCCAAAAGGTGGCACGGGCATGAATAGCCCGTAAGTGGTGGCCCTTTGGAACCATTACCAGTATCAAGAGCTGATACTGGAGATCTGTGGAGGTGCGACTACACCCTGCGTGACGGGAGATGTCACGCAGGGTCATTTGGGCATTGTTTTGAATTCCGTTATATAGACAAAGCCCAGGACACAGTGGTCGCTGGCTCCCAGTGGTCGCTGGCTCCCAGTGGTCGCTGGCTCCCAGTGGTCGCTGGCTCCCAGTGGTCGCTGGCTCCCAGTGGTCGCTGGCTCCCAGTGGTCGCTGGCTCCCAGTGGTCGCTGGCTCCCAGTGGTCGCTGGCTCCCAGTGGTCGCTGGCTCCCAGTGGTCGCTGGCTCCCAGTGGTCGCTGGCTCCCAGTGGTCGCTGGCTCCCAGTGGTCGCTGGCTCCCAGTGGTCGCTGGCTCCCAGTGGTCGCTGGCTCCCAGTGGTCGCTGGCTCCCAGTGGTGGCTGGCTCCCAGTGGTCGCTGGCTCCCAGTGGTGGCTGGCTCCCAGTGGTCGCTGGCTCCCAGTGGTCGCTGGCTCCCAGTGGTCGCTGGCTCCCAGTGGTCGCTGGCTCCCAGTGGTCGCTGGCTCCCAGTGGGAGCTGTGTTAAGCATTCAGACAATTATTTATTATTTTATGCGTGTATTTATTATTTTATGCGTGTATTTATTATTTGTGCCTGCAAGATTGAGCTGTTAGCTCTTGGGCCCCGCCTCGCTAACCGCTGGGTATCTACTGCACTGATTCCCGACGTAATTTTTCCTAATATCTACTACATATATTTCTACCGAACACACACACATCCCCAGGATGCAGCCCGTAGCCGCTGTCTAATTTAAAAGTAATTATTTGTTGCTAGGTAAACAGAAGCATCAGGTAAATGAGATTTTGTCCATTTGTTTCTGCCTCGCTCGGGACTCGAACCCGGGTCCTTAGGACTACGACCCACGAGCGCTGTCTACTCAGCTGCGAGGCCGGGAGTCAGAGCCCAAACCAATACTGACGAACACAGGAGCGTCCAGATTAGCCTCAGGGCCTGACAGCTGAGTGGACAGCGCTTCGGATTCGTAGTCCTGAGGTTCCGGGTCCGATCCCCGATGGAGGCGGAAACAAATGGGCAGAGTTTCTTTCACCCTGATGCCCCTGTTACCTAGCAGTAAAAATAGGTACCTGGGAGTTAGACAGCTGCTACAGGATTCTTCCTGGGGGTGTGTAACAAAAAGGAGGCCTGGTTCCTTTTGATGATTTCGGGGCTTTGATAACCTCTAGATAACCTGGTCGAGGACCGGGCCGCGGGGACGCTAAACCCCGAAAATCATGTTAAGATAACATCAAGACCACACAGGCTCAAGCCACAAGTCTCTGGACGGGTGATCATTGAATCTATTTTATTAAATCTTACTTGTTTTAACATTAATACTTTAATACAGGCGATGAGACACACTAACGTGGCTGAAGTATGTTGACCAGACCACACACTAGAAGGTGAAGGGACGACGACGTTTCGCTCCGTCCTGGACCATTCTCAAGTCGATTGTCTTAATACTTTAATGTTATTGATTTTGTTCTCTTCCTCTTCCTTCCCTCACACACCCTCCTCCTCCTCCTCCTCCTTCTATTTCCTCTCTTCTTCTTTGACGTTTCTATATAATATTGGTTCATTTTTTTGTATAAGAAACACATGTAAGAGAAATATATAATTTTATTCTCAAAAGATACATAGACACGCACACATAGAGCATAACAAAAATACAATGGATATCAAAATATCCAAAAGAATGTGTAAAGTTGCATAAAACTTCATATATATATATATATATATATATATATATATATATATATATATATATATATATATATACACGCAGAACAAGGCTTATCTTGGGTACGACCCCATCACATTATACAAGAGTGTATAGTCATTATAGTGTGAGTGTGTATATATATATATATATATATATATATATATATATATATATATATATATATATATATATATATATATATATATATATATATATATATATACACACTCTACTACCTCACTTACAGCGACCACCAGACAAACTGCTGTACCACATAAGAGTTCAGGATTACAGCCAGGCTTACAATTTGCTTTAGTCAGAACTAACCGTGGTACGGATACTTCTTGAACCAGACTGTACATTGAGTCTACCTTTTTTTTTTTGGGGGGGGGGGGGGAGGCTAGAAAAAATGGTACCGTATCTGATTCTACAACCAGGCGGAACGGTACAGTCTGTTTAAGAGCCAGGCAGGATGGTACACTTTGTTCTAGATGCTTAAGAGGGCGGTACAGCTAGTTCAGATACAACAGGATTAGGTGCACACATGGCTGTACCTACCGGGTACACGTAGGTTTATCTACCAGGGTACACGGTACATATGGGTGTACCTACCAGGGTACACGGTACATATGGGTGTACCTACCAGGGTACATGGTACATATGGGTGTACCTACCAAGTAACACATGGCTGTATCTAGCAGGGTACACATGGCTGTACCCACCACGGTGCATGGTACAAATGACTGTACCTACAAGGGTACACACGGGTGTACCTACCAGGGTACAAGGTACACAAGGGTCTACCCACCACGGTACACATGGCTATATCTTCTAGGGTACAAGTCATTAGTCATTAGAAGCGTTAGTACACCTTGGGTACCGTGCTGCCCTCTATATGGAGCGTTAGTACCCCTTGGGTACCGTGCTGCCCTCTAGACGGAGCGTTAGTACCCCTTGGGTACCGTGCTGCCCTCTATATGGAGCATTAGAACCCCTTGGGTACCGTGCTGCCCTCTATATGGAGCGTTAGTACCCCTTGGGTACCGTGCTGCCCTCTAGACGGAGCGTTAGTACCCCTTGGGTACCGTGCTGCCCTCTATATGGAGCGTTAGTACCCCTTGGGTACCGTGCTGTCCTCTAGACGGAGCGTTAGTACCGTGCTGCCCTCTAGACGGAGCGTTAGTACCCCTTGGGTACCGTGCTGCCCTCTAGACGGAGCGTTAGTACCCCTTGGGTACCGTGCTGTCCTCTATATGGAGCGTTAGTACCCCTTGGGTACCGTGCTGCCCTCTAGGTGAAGCGTTAGTACCCCTTGGGTACCGTGCTGCCCTCTATATGGAGCGTTAGTACCCCTTGGGTACCGTGCTGTCCTCTATATGGAGCGTTAGTACCCCTTGGGTACCGTGCTGCCCTCTAGACGGAGCGTTAGTACCCCTTGGGTACCGTGCTGTCCTCTATATGGAGCGTTAGTACCCCTTGGGTACCGTGCTGCCCTCTAGACGGAGCGTTAGTACCCTTTGGGTACCGTGCTGCCCTCTATATGGAGCGTTAGTACCCCTTGGGTACCGTGCTGCCCTCTAGGTGAAGCGTTAGTACCCCTTGGGTACCGTGCTGCCCTCTATATGGAGCGTTAGTACCCCTTGGGTACCGTGCTGCCCTCTATATGGAGCGTTAGTACCCCTTGGGTACCGTGCTGCCCTCTAGACGGAGCGTTAGTACCCCTTGGGTACCGTGCTGCCCTCTATATGGAGCGTTAGTACCCCTTGGGTACAGTGCTGCCCTCTATATGGAGCGTTAGTACCCCTTGGGTACAGAGCTGCCCTCTATATGGAGCGTTAGTACCCCTTGGGTACCGTGCTGCCCTCTATATGGAGCGTTAGTACCCCTTGGGTACCGTGCTGCCCTCTAGGTGAAGCGTTAGTACCCCTTGGGTACCGTGCTGCCCTCTAGACGGAGCGTTAGTACCCCTTGGGTACCGTGCTGCCCTCTATATGGAGCGTTAGTACCCCTTGGGTACAGTGCTGCCCTCTATATGGAGCGTTAGAACCCCTTGGGTACCGTGCTGCCCTCTAGGTGAAGCGTTAGTACCCCTTGGGTACCGTGCTGCCCTCTAGGTGAAGCGTTAGTACCCCTTGAGTACAGTGCTGCCCTCTATATGGAGCGTTAGTACCCCTTGGGTACAGTGCTGCCCTCTAGACGGAGCGTTAGTACCCCTTGGGTACCGTGCTGCCCTCTATATGGAGCGTTAGTACCCCTTGGGTACCGTGCTGCCCTCTAGACGGAGCATTAGTACCGTGCTGTGCAGTGCCTGCTTGGTCTGTAGACATCCTCATGTGCAATATCAAGCTGCCCCCTTGTTGTGGAGCTCTAATGCAGTGCTGTAACGGTGACTGGCCTTACTCCTGCTCTCTCTCACTCACTCAGACGCACTCATTCACTCACTCACTCCCACAAGCACGCACTCATCGAACCGCGAACTCAAACAACAATAAATTAGGCTTTTAACAAGATTTAAAAACACAGACTATACGTATCATATACACATCTACGCACATATATTTACTATACATATACATCTTTTACGATAACACATTTATCTCTGGCGAGGAAGCTAATATTTACAGATAATTATATATATATATATATATATATATATATATATATATATATATATATATATAATGTCAATCGCCAGTGATACAACCTATGTATAACAGCCTCTAATTATATGAATATGGCCAAACAGAGAACTCATTGGCCAAACCGATAAAGTTCCTAAATAGCAGATATTTGGTGAAACAGCTGACACAGCCAGAGAAACACAGCCAATGTCATATATATATATATATATATATATATATATATATATATATATATATATATATATATATATATATATATATATATATATATATATGTATATCACAATCAGAAAGTACAATGCATAAGGGATTGTACACAGTAAACAAGAAGGTAAACAAACTTATGCAAGTTAAGGTATCTTGATTGATGTGTGTGTCAGCCTGGCGACTCCTGACACCTGTTGCACACCTGTGATAAAATTCTTGATATATTCAGCGTATCTGGCCCAAAAACTCACGACACACACACACACACCTGGCATCTTTGGTAATCTTGGCATCTCTGGCACCCCCTAATATATCTGGCAACCTTGACACATCTTAAACCCTCTGACACTACTGACATCCAGACATTTCTGGCAACCTTGACACATCTGGACTAGTGACAATACAATTAAAGTATGCAGGTGTCCATAAGGACACTACCACATGGCTCCAACTGACGTTTTCAACCTTATGCAGTTCACTATATATATATATATATATATATATATATATATATATATATATATATATATATATATATATATATTACTCAAAGATATCCCCCACTCCCCAATTATAGATATAGATATTTAGTAAATGATAGTGAATAAGACTGTGCAAGTTTTGTCTATTCCAGGGTGGCCTCAGACGACTAGTCAACCCGTCGACCAGTCAACCGGTCGATCAGTCAACCGGTCGACCAGTCAACCGGTCGATCAGTCAACCGGTCGACCAGTCAACCGATCGACCAGTCAACCGGTCGATCAGTCAACCGGTCGACCAGTCAACCGGTCGACCAGTCAACCGGTAGAGTACCGGTAGTCATGTATTTCAAGGATGCAACTGCAGTATTGTAAATACTAGAGCCTTAAGCAATACACCTTGAGATATATTGGTGTCCTTGGTGTAACATTGTGGAACGATACCTGCGTGTATGTGTGTGTGTGTGTTCACCTAGATCTACACACACACACACACACACACGTGTGGTCATATATAATATTCTAATCTATAGATTTCCTCGAATGTTGACGCCCCTCATTTCCACATCTCCGAGTCATTCAACGCTCACAACATCAATATGATTTACTTACGACACGAAGGCCATATTTAATACAATGTAAATGTTTTCCATCTTCTACAGTTTGGTCACGTAAAAGATGTCATCAAGAGCTATAGTGCCCAAACGGTTCAGTGTGGGAGAGAGACACGGGGTGGCGCCAGTGGCCGGAAGCTAGTATTAATGTGTACGACGAGGGGCGCCACTGCTGGCCGCCCTGAGAAACTTCATACGCTGTATTGAGGACGTTGGTGTGAAGGAGTTTGTCGGAGTCGAGGTTCTGCTTCTGTTCGAACAACTATTGCTTCACGCCTCTGCTCATACAACTATTGCTTCGCCCCTCTATTCATACAACAACGGCTTCACTCAGCTCATACACCCACAGCTTCACTCCTCTGCTCATTCAACCACGGCTTCACTCAGCTCATACACCCACTGCTTCACTCCTCTGCTCATACAACCACTGCTTCACTCAGCTCATACACCCACAGCTTCACTCCTCTGCTCATACAACCACTGCTTCACTCAGCTCATACACCCACAGCTTCACTCCCCTGCTTATACAACCACTGCTTCACTCAGCTCATACACCCACAGCTTCACTCCTCTGCTCATACAACCACTGCTTCACTCAGCTCATACACCCACAGCTTCACTCCTCTGCTTATACAACCACTGCTTCACTCAGCTCATACACTTACAGCTTCACTCCTCTCCTCTGCTCATACAACCACGGCTTCACTCAGCTCATACACCCACAGCTTCACTCCTCTGCTCATACAACCACGGCTTCACTCAGCTCATACAACCACTGCTTCACTCAGCTCATACACCCACAGCTTCACTCCTCTGCTCATACAGGCGCCGCAGCAATTCCTGGGAGTAGGTATGAGGGTGCCAAAATAGGTTTGTGCGCGGCAGAACTCTTCCTGGCCCATGAGGCACGGTGCCAACCTCTGATATAATCAGGCATTTCCCTCACAGTTTCCAGCAGTCAGCTTGGGAATAGATGCTATCGGGTGGCTTTAATGTCAGCTGGTGGAGGTTGGTGGAGACTGCTGCTCTATGTACATTGTTTACATCATGTGTGTGTGTGAGAGAGAGAGAGAGAGAGAGAGAGAGAGAGAGAGAGAGAGAGAGAGAGAGAGAGAGAGAGAGAGAGAGAGAGAGAGAGAGAGAGAGAGAGAGAGAGAGAGAGAGAGAGAGAGAGAGAGAGAATGTGCACTATGGTTCAGTGTTTGGTCGTTATATGGGCCATAAAGCCTTTCAGGTTCATAAACATTTCAGGCTCAGTTCTGACTTTGACAATTGGTCGTGTAAAGAATTTGAAAACAATGTCACCCGACATTGGCCAAAACACAGGAAAAAGCCAACAACAGAGTTCTTCAAACTCCCATTTATTCATAGCAATGTCTATATATTAGTATAATCCATGCACACACACACATATATATATTTACAGGACACTGAGACACAGCTAACAAGCTGATCACCAAATACGAGCCACTCCATCTTAGGCGGTAGTGTTTGGACCTTCAGGAGGGCCGCCATCGCTTGAGGTAGTTGCTGGTTCCTGCGACTCCGTCTCCATCTTCTCCGTGGAAGCCGATGGCTCGATCTTCTTCTCGACGTCCCCCACGGATGTCGATGAGGCCAGATGAGAGTTTGTGCTCTCGTCAGGAGGCTTTACTGACTGCTGTTCCTCCTCCTGCTGGCGGCTGTTGGTGCCTTCCGCTGGATGCTCTGCGGGAGATTCCGTTGGTTGCTGTTTTTCAGGGACTACTGACGGCTGACACCGATTCGTTTCTGTTTCCATAGACTCGGCAGTAGGTTCCTGCTTCTTGTCCTCCACTTTTGGCTCACTGGCTTTGGCTTCGAGTGCAGATATAGCAGCATTTATGTCCTTAATAACGGCTCTTCGCGCCTTTCGGACTTCGTCGCAGCCGTCTGGGTCGACGTTGTCCAGCTGCAGCAATGCCCGTGTCAGCATTTCATCCAAATAAAGGAACTCTCGGTCTTTTTTGGTTCCCTGGAAGCCATTAACTTTGTCTATATATTCTTCTATTGACGCCCGTACTGCCTCAATCTGTGCCAAACGTGGGTCTTTGGCTGGGGACTGAGTCTTACGCTCAGGCTGTGTGTCTGTCTGGTCCTGAGATTGATGAGGCTGCTGCTGCTGGGAGTGTTGGGGCATGGGCATGGGCATGGGCATGGGCATGGGCACCGGTTGAGGAATAGGTTCTGGATGAGGAGGAGTTTGCTGTGCCTGAGAATGAGGTTGTGGTCTAAACAAGGGCTTCTGTTGCCTCTGTTGTTGTTGTGGCTGTTGCTGCTGCTGTGGCTGGTGCTGTTGTGGCTGGTACTGTTGCGGATGCTGCTGATGTGCTCCCTGATACTGTTGTGGATGCTGCTGCTGTGCTCCCTGATACTGTTGTGGATGCTGCTGCTGTGCTCCCTGATACTGTTGTGGATGCTGTTGCTGTGCTGTCTGATACTGTTGTGGATGCTGCTGCTGCCTAGTTTGGCCCCACTGGCCAGAAGGCTTTTGTGTGTTATTCGAGTCTTCGTTAACTATGGGACCATCACGGCCCTCCACAAAGATGGGAATGTTGCGAACAACACTTGGCCTCTGACCTGCCTGCCTGTTGGGCTGCTGAGGGGGAGGTGGTGGTGGAGGCTGTTGCTGCTGGTAGGAGTACTGTTGGTACTGTTGTGGCTCCTGGTTCTGTTGTGGATATTGCTGGTACTGTGGTTGGGGATGCTGGTATTGCCACTGCGAGTCTGCCATCGGTTGTTGCTGGTGCTGCCACTGCTGTTCGGGCATTTGTTGGGGTGGTTGCTGCTCGACGAACTGCTGAGGCTGTTGCTGGGTTTCTTGTTGCTGTTTATTTGCAGGGACGAAAGGCTTGGGCACAGTATTGAACTTGGCGGGGAGTGGGGACACCGGTGTGGCCTTTGGGTGCGGCGAACCGGGGCTCTGTGGTGCCTGTGGCGTTATGTTAATTTTCGAGACAAACCTTTGTTGGGTTGGTGGCGTCTGTGTATCATGTGTCACAGGCTGTTCGGCCATTTCCGGGGGCGCAGACGCACAGCGAGTCGTCCGAGGCACATTGTCAGAGTGGTCGCTGGCGTCCACTGCGGAGGTGGTGCGCACTGGATACTGATTGCTCTTCCTGTTGCCTCCTATCTTGGAGGAGAGTGGCGCAACGGGCTCATTTTCCTGTTGTTGCTGTTGTTCTGATGACACTGGAGGTGCTGGGGCCTCAAGTCGGATAGGTATTTCGTGGCTGGGAACGTCTGAAGATCCAGCCGAGCCCTGGGATGACTTGTCTGTGGCCCCAGCGTCACAGGAATCATCCTCCGAAGTTGCGCTCATAGCTGAGCCTCCCGAACTGCGCCTCTCCCGCCAGGGGCCCCCACGGCGGCCCAAAGTGGCAAAGTGCGGAGCGTGGGACATTCGTGTGGCCAAGTCACTCATGTCGTCGTCCTCGGACATCCAGTTGGGCATGCGGAACATCTGGTGGCGGCCGCGCAGGTCATCCATTCCTCGGCGTGCAAAGTCTTCTCCGTCTTCAGCCTGTGGGAAAAAAAGGAGTGTTGTTAGGGGCCTTCATTATCCACCCGTGGACGTAATCACTATACCGGGACGGAGCTGAGAATGATAACGGTGATTAGTGTGGGAAAATACTATGATAAAAGAGGAGAATCGCATAGGACCTTAGCTAAGAATTTGCACTTTTTACTTTTTCATTTTAATGAAATATATACAGGACTTTATTTCCAAGTCCTATGTAGTTATCCTCTTTTATCAATCATGGTATTTTTTCCAACAATTTGAACAGAATTTAAAGTGTAGTTGTAAGAATAACATAAATAATAATGAAGATTAGGCTACTATAATAATCATTTAAAATCTTATAATAATAATAATAATAATTAAAATAATAGCCACTGCCCTAGTAAGAAGATAATCTGGGGCCAGATTAACGAAGCAGTAGCTCAGGTACTTACGAACGTGTACATCTTTCCTCAATTTTTGACCACTTTGGTTACATTTATTAAGCAGTTTACAAGCATGATAACTTCCCACTCAGCTGTTGTTATTGTCATAAAGAGCCTCCTAGTGCTTCGAAGCTCATTAACTGTTTAATAATTGTAAACAAAGCCGCCAAAGATTGAGAAAAGATGTACAGGTTCGTAAGTGCTTGCGTAACGGCTTCTCGAATCTGGCCCCCGACACGCTCAAGTGGCCACCCTCATACAAAGAAATAGTTACCAAAGTTCACTACTGTTCATTTAAGAGCCTAGGAGACGCTCCTGAGACACAAGTGTTCATGGAGAAGCTTTTTACCACAACATTCAAAGAGTTTTTTTGCATCAAAATGAAGAACAGACCCAATACTTATGTACCGATAAGTGTATTAATTAATAAACCGAATTTTCGGATGAACCTCCTTTATCAAGGTGGTGAGTAAACACTGTGTACTCACCTAGAATCTTCCCGGCTTAGTGACTTCTTTTGATAATTACTTACTTACTTTCTTTCAACACTACCATACATGTCGACACTAATATACATATCGACACTAATATACATGTCGACACCAACAAACAGGTCGACACTACTATACATGTCGACACTACTATACATGTCAACACTAACATACATGTCGACACCAACAAACAGGTCGACACTACTATACATGTCGACACTACTATACATGTCGACACTAACATACATGTCGACACTACTATACATGTCGAAACCAACATACATGTCGACACCAACAAACAGGTCGACACTTTACATGCCGACACTAACAAACAGGTCGACACTAACATACACATTCTGAAAACTAGTCAACTACCAACAAAGCTGTACATGCTGATGCCACAAATACACAAATACACAGATACACAAATACACAAATACACAGATACACAAATACTCAGCCTGTAGCCTACAAACTCGATTTAGCTAGGCTACAGGCTGACGATATTCGCAATGCATCACCAAAACAAGACACCAGGTTGATCATGCCTCCAGTAAACAATCTTTCGACACTGGAAACGTTAACGAAACCAATAAACCCCATTTTAATATTCTACAGTATGTCCACATTAGAAGAGAAGTTACAGATTTTGTAAACGGTGGTACAAGCAATACAGATACAGGTGTCGACGTTGTACACAGGATGCCAACAGTCACCGCTCCATTGGTGGACAAGGCTGTGGTAATAATGGGGGTGGTGGTAGTGGTGGTGGTGGGAGATGATGGTGGTGGGGGATGATGGTGGTGGTGGTGGTGGACTACAGAGGTGAACGCCCTGCAGGTGGCGCTAAGAGGTGGGGAAGGGGGAGGGAGGGAGATGGAAAATGGTGGTGAGGGAGGAAGGAATGGTGGTGAGGGGGAATGGAATGGTGGTGAGAGAGGAGGGAAATATCGGGGCACGGGAAGGAGGTGGACGGGAACTCGAGATAGGCAAAAAAAAAAAAAATACCAATGTTGTGGAAAGGACTAAGTGGAATAGGTGAGGGGGGGGGTGAGGGGGGGGGGGCGTCGTTGGTGAGACAAGGGGGGGGGAGGGGTAAGGTGGTTGGTGTAAGGTAACCCTGAGATACACACTAGCCACACCTTATACTCCCCCCCCCCTTCACCCCTCGCCAATCATAACCCCCCACCAGTCCCAGGACAGGTGTACACACGGGTACAGGTGGTATAGAATAGCACAGATGTACATAAGTGTACAGGTGTGCACATTGAGACACGCGGACCATCATTTATGAGCCAAAATGACAGGTTATTTGCCAGCATCACGTATGGGGTCGAATCTAATAAACAAGTAGCCTAATATAAGCTACTTTTATATATACACTACATAAACTTTTAAGCTACTTTTATATATACACAAAATGTGCATAAATAGTATAGAAACTAAGCGATTCATAAAAATTAAACATTGGAAACGAAAACTGGGCCTTTTAATCTACACTCAACCATTAACAAATTCAAGGTGAACCTACTCCTAATCCAGTTTTTGGCTTCGATATGCATCTGTTTCAGTAGCAGTATTGAGACGTCCGCTTACCCAAACAAAGACGCATTCATTACGTCATGTAAACGTCCTTAGCAAACTGCGTTCCCTCAGGAGACAGAATTGTATCAAATGACATGCTTTCACCCAGTCCCTCCGAGCGTTTGGACACCCCCGAGTAACGGACGAATGAGAAAAACATTCTCAGTGCTCCACTAACCTCTGAACATTCCACACTAACGGCCATAAACGGTAAAAATAGACAATAATAGAGGGTAATCTAGTGATAAAATATACTATTTGGTTGCAACACTTGGAACACCAAATACAAGCACCTTCTGGAACACCCCCCCCCATCACAATCACCTCCTGGAACACCAAATACAATCACCTCCTGGAACACCCACAACACAAGCACCTCCTGGAACACCCCCAACACAATCACCTGGAACACCCACAACACAAGCACCTCCTGGAACACCCCCACCACAATCACCTCCTGGAACACTCGCAACAGTCACCTGGAACACCCCCAACACAATCACCTGGAACACCCCCAACACAATCACCTGGAACACCCCAACACAAGCACCTCCTGGAACACCCCCACCACAATCACCTGAAACACCTCCAACACAATCACCTCCTGGAACACCCCCAACACAAACACCTCCTAGAACACCCCAACACAAGCACCTCCTGGAACACCCCCACCACAATCACCTGAAACACCTCCAACACAATCACCTCCTGGAACACGCCCAACACAATCACCTCCTGGAACACCCCCAACACAAGCACCTCCTGGAACACCCCCAACACAAGCACCTCCTGGAACACCCCCAACACAAGCACCTCCTGGAACACCCCCAACACAAGCACCTCCTGGAACACCCCCAACACAAGCACCTCCTGGAACACCCCAACACAAGCACCTCCTGGAACACCCCCACCACAATCACCTGAAACACCTCCAACACAATCACCTCCTGGAACACCCCAACACAAGCACCTCCTGGAACACCCCAACACAAGCACCTCCTGGAACACCCCAACACAAGCACCTCCTGGAACACCCCCACCACAATCACCTGAAACACCTCCAACACAATCACCTCCTGGAACACCCCCACCACAATCACCTGAAACACCTCCAACACAATCACCTCCTGGAACACGCCCAACACAATCACCTCCTGGAACACCCCCAACACAAACACCTCCTGGAACACCCCCAACACAAACACCTCCTGGAACACCCCCAACACAATCACCTGGAACACCCACAACACAAGCACCTCCTGGAACACCCCCACCACAATCACCTCCTGGAACACCCCCAACACAATCACCTGGAACACCCCCAACACAATCACCTGGAACACCCCCACCACAATCACCTCCTGGAGCACCCGCAACACAGTCACCTGGAACACCCCCAACACAATCACCTGGAACACCCACAACACAATCACCTGGAACACCCACAACACAAACACCTCCTGGAACACCCCCAACACAATCACCTGGAACACCCACAACACAAGCACCTCCTGGAACACCCCCACCACAATCACCTCCTGGAACACCCCCAACACAATCACCTGGAACACCCCCAACACAAGTACCTCGTGTATATGAACCCAAGAGTGACCTACCGATCTCTTGACGGGAGCTCGCTGGAGGGGCCTGGCGATGTGTGAAGGCCACATAGCGGCAACGGTAAGCCCCAGTGGCTGTTCTTGTGCACCACTCCTTGCTTACGGCCAGCACTGGGCACGACTGGGTAGCCTTCACGGGATGTTGGCACACGGCTATCGTTTTATATACGTCATTAACAAATCGTCAATCTGTTGGTGTTACTTCACTCTGATGCTCTTTATCTGTCAATGTATCATGCTGTGGCAAGAGTTATGGGGGATATATATATATATATATATATATATATATATATATATATATATATATATATATATATATATATATATATATATATATATATATATATATATATATATATATATATATATATATTATACATTTACTATTTGTGTCTGCAGAATCGAGCTATTAGCTCTTGAACCTCGCTTTTCTAACTAATTTATTTTTCCTCTATTATATCTACTATATATACTTATCTTTAACACACACACCCAGGAAGCAGCCCGTAGCAGCTGTCTAACTCCCAGCTACCTATTTACTGCTAGGTGAACAGCTGCATCAGGGTGAAACAAACTCGGCCTATTTGTTTCTGCCTCTGCCGGGGATCGAACCCGGGCCCTTAGGATTACGACCGCTGTCCACTCAGCCGCGAGGCCCCCTGTGTGTGTGTGTGTGTGTGTGTGTGTGTGTGTGTGTGTGTGTGTGTGTGTGTGTGTGTGTGTGTGTGTGTGTGTGTGTGTGTGTGTGTGTGTGTGCGCGCGTGTGTGTGCGCGTGTGCGCGCGCGTTCACATAGTTGTGTTTGCGGGTGTTGAGCTCTGGCTCTTTGGTCCCGCCTCTCAACTGTCAATCAACTGGTGTACAGGTTCCTGAGCCTACTGG